AGGAAAGACGGATCGGGAGATTGATAGGCGGATTGGTGCGGCGTCTGCAGTGATGCGAGCGTTGTCTATCGTGGCGAAGAGAAAGTTGAGTCAGAAGGCAAAGCTCTGGATTTACCGATCGATCTACATACCAGCCCTCACCTATGGTCACGAGCTTTGGGTAGTGACCAAAGCAGCCGCAATGAATTTTCTCCACAGGGTGTCTGGGCTCTCCCTTAGAGATAGGGTGAGAAGTTTGATCATCCGGGAGGGGTTTGGAGTAGATCCGCAGCTTCTCCACACTGAGGGGAGCCAGTTGAGGTGGCTCGGGCATTTGGTTAGGATGCCTCCTGGACGCTTCCTTGGTGAGGTTTTCTGGACACATCCAACGGGTAGATAGGGGTGGACTGGCCTATCTGGTATAGCCCTGGTGGGCTAGGGTTTGGGTGGGCTGGTTTTTGTATTAAGTTTATAGGTTTTCACCATCGACATATAAATATGGGACAATGGGTTTCCATAGGCTCCAATAACACATTTTTGAAGATAAATGGGAGGTGGCCACCACCGCCATTTTGACCGTCTCACAGGTTCCGTCAAGCCCAGACAATTCCACAAAAGGGAAGAGAGGTGGAGCTTAGGGTGGGGCTGTAAGGCTGGGATCAACTGACGACACCCGGTCGAACTAGCTACAAGCTAACCTGAAGCTAACCCAAAGCTAACGCGGAGGTGGGAGCTAAGCTAACGGAGGTAGCAACCTAGCTACAACCGGAGTTAACTGTGCACAACACCAGAGCTTCTGAGTCAGAGATACGCCGGGTAAAACCGGGTGGAACACAGAGGTCTCCGAGACCTCCACAAGCCGGCAGCTGCACAGCAGACAGAAGCCACGATCAGACAGAGATGCGCCGAGCTGCGGGGAGGCGAGAACGGGTGGAAAACATCCGTCTCCCGAGAGCTCCACAAGCCGATAGTGGGAACCCAGCTCCACCAACATGTTATATTTCAACCCATTTTCTAAAGTGCAGCATTATGTTAAATGCACTGGGTTTTACCCTATTACATTTAAATTTCATGGTTAAACAGTACATGTTAAAATCTAAGCTCAGCTCGGCAGTGACCTAAAATACATAAATATAATTTTATTTACCGAAAAAAATGAAGTGGAGACTCCTTGGACGCTCTATTAGTGCAATTGATGCCACAGCAAGTCATTTTGTCCAACAATTGCACAAAAAATATCCAAAAAAGAATACACAAACACAGAGACTCAAAATCCCGGAACAGTTTCCAGGCCAGACCGAGGCTCTACTGAGGCCTTTCCACGGAGCTAGCTCTGTGGTCACGTGGGTCTGATGCTCATTAATTATACAGAATTTTAGGCTTTTAACACACTTAAACAGAAGAGTGAGAAAAAAATTCACCCCCCTCAGAGTTGTCATGAGTGTAAACTAGATCATTTAAACCAAAAACATGTTTTGGTACCAGGCTGTAAACATGTTTATTTCTGCTGTGAAATTGGTATTTTTAACATGGGAGTCAATGAGGATTTGCTCGCTTCTGACACCAGCCCCTAGTGGATGAAGGTGGAACTGCAATTTTTGGTACTTAAAGTTGGGACCAATTTTTGAGCCGCATTGTGGGGGCTTGGTTTTCACCCTTCCTATCTTGATTGCTTAGTTTTACATTTGTGTATTTTATGGTTTTAACTGCTGGTTTCATTTTTATTACTTTTTTAACTGTACTGTGTGATTATTTAGCTCGTTTTTAATGTGCAGCGCTTTGGTCGGCTGTAACGCTGTGTTGAAAGCGCTTAACACATAAAGCGGTATAGTATGGGTATGCTATGTTATAATATTCTATGCTGTATTGTGCCATGCCATTTTTGCTAGGCAATGCTACGCTAAAATACACTATGCTGTTATGTTGTGTTGTGCTATGCAACTTGGTGCCATGCCATGCTATGCTAAGTTAAGCTGTGCAATGTTGTGCTGAATGCAAATGAGTGATATTTTGAATTTGTGTGGAAATTGTTGAAAGTTTATTTATTTATTTTAATTCACATTCTGGTTGACTTCTCATGTTTATTAATAAATAATAAATTCCAACATCAAAGGAGGATTTTTCCCCACTACACATACACAACATCTGTACAACTGTTTAAGTGTGTAAAGGGGACATATTATAATTATATATATATATATATATATATATATATATATATATATATATATATATATATATATATATATATATGCATCAACAATTGGTATCAGCTGTTAAGTCACTTTTTAACATAACAGTATTGGTCCGATAAGTAAAAGTGGGCAACAGTTGATGTTTATTTCCATTTGAGTCTGTGTTTTAGCAGCTGGGAGGGGGTTGGCCATGTGGTATTTGTTTAGTTATGTGACAGTGAGGATGAATAGATTATGGGTGTTTAATTGAAGCAGAGAATCAAGGTAGGTGGTGTCGTCACTTTTTTACAGCGCTTTGTGATTTATATCTGTGAAAGGCGCTATATAAATAAATTTTACTTACTTACTTACTTAAACAGTGTAGAAATTGCAGAGAAAAAATATATAATAATGATTAACACAGGTGGAACTGGAAAAATTACAATATGGTGCAAACATTTATCGTTGTGAGTAATTCAACTTAAAAGGTGAAACTGATATGTGAGATAGACTCATTCCATGCAAAGCCAGATATTTCGAGTCATTATTTGTTATAATTGTGATGATTACGGCTTACAGCTGATGAAAACCCCAAATTCTAAAGCAGACAATTAGAATATTGTGAAAAGGTTCAAAGTGTCACACTCTGATCAGCTAATGAATCCAAACACCTGCAAATGGTTCCTGAGCCTTTAGACCAGTCCAGCACGTTTTAGTTGTTCCTCTGCTTCAACGCACTAGACCAGGGGTAGGCAACCCTGGCCCTAGAGATCTGCAGTCCTGCATGTTTTCCAGCCATGCATGAGCTTCTAACTGACTGAACACACATGATCCAGGTGATCAACAGCAGGAACAACAAAGAAAGTTGGAAAACAAGCAGGACTACGGGTCTCTAGGACCAGGGTTGCCTACCTCTGCACTGGACTCAGCGGTTAAATCAGCTGTGCAGCAGCTCATCAGGCTCTGCAGAAGCCTGTTAATTACCCGCTGATTGAAATCAGGTGTGTTGAAACAGAGTTCAAACTAAAACGTGCTGGATACCAGCCCTCCCGGACCGGAATTGAATACCCTCGCTTTAGATGGTCTCTCAGTCGAAGTCAGATTACTGAAACAAACAAACATTTGCATCAGATTCAGATTTCTCGCGTTTCGCCTGGTTATCACTATGACAACAGTAAAAATATCAGATAGCGATATTGACCAGGCCGGACCAAAGCCAGGCTCTCGATTTACCGGTCGATCTACGTCCCAATCCTCACCTATGGTCATGAGCTTTGGGTAATGACCGAAAGAACGAGATCGCGGATAAAAGCGGCCGAAATGAGTTTCCTCCGTAGGGAGGCCGGGCTCAGCCTTAGAGATAGGGTGAGGAGCTCGGACATTCGGGAGGGACTCGGAGTAGAACCGCTGCTCCTCCGGATCGAAAGGAGACAGTTGAGGTGGTTTGGGCATCTGGTCAGGATGCCTCCTGGACACCTCCCTGGGGAGGTGTGTCGGGCATGTCCTGCCGGCAGGAGGCCCCCGGGTCGACCCAGGACACGTTGGAGAGGTTACATCTCCAATCTGGTCCGGGAACGCCTTGGGAACATCTGCCGGAGGAGCTGGTGGAGAAGGCCGGGGAGAGGACGGTCTGGAGCTCCCTAGTTGGGATGCTGCCCCCGCGACCCGGACCCGGATAAGCGGAGGAAGACGACGACGATGACGATATTGACCAAGTTTTTCACATCAATGCATCCCTAATAACTTTACTTCCAGGATGAGCTGTTTCAAGGGTCTCGCTCTGAGGAAAAAATGGCCACGCCCTCTCCCCCTGGTTGGCTAGTTTCCCTCATTGTGACATCACAAATGTGTTTTTTTTCCAAACGGCTCAATTTAGTCACCCAATTTCTGAAACCAAACACTAACAGAAAACAGATGTAGGTTTTTAATCACATTTACAGTTTTTATAGAGACAGTAGAAGCCCTTATGGCAGCAGAAAAGGATATGACCCCTTTAAATAATTTGAATGAAAGCAAGGGGTCAGTTCACCTTTAGCTCCAGCCCTGGATACGCCCATGACACATGAACTAAGATAACAAAGATGCATTAGCTCTTAGAATAGAACTGGTTTCATCGATGAGTGGATGGCTTCAGAACCCCTCACATTTAAACCTGAGAGATGAATGGAGGAAGCAAGCTAGTCTGGAGTCATTTAGGAGAAAACAACTGAATCTGGGATGCCTTAGACATGTGTTTTGATCTTAGATGCTGTGTTCTGGGTTTTCTCAGTCTTAATAACTAGTTTAATAGCTAAAAACTCAATGGTCGAATATTTTTTGTACCCTATCCTGCTTTTTTTAATCTCATAAAATAGTTGTGAACCTTATCCGAGTTTGGAGATATGCCCCAACCTGACAAAAAGCCATTTCTCTGGAGCGATTTGATGCATCTCAGACGTTTAAAACGCACGGACCTGCCGTCTACCGGGTCATAACCACTCCCCTCCCCAGATACAATCATAGGCTCAGAGATTTCACCAGGAGCTCTACTTCTCCCAGATTTGTACAAGACGTTTGCAGCAATAGCAGGCCCCTGCCCACTCTCCCCCTCGGCTTGACAGGTGAGAATTATACTGTGTCCTTGTCATCTGCACCGAGAGAGGGAGACGATATTCTCTGAGCTATTTCTGCCTCCATCTCCTCTATCTCCATCTGTAATGCTGCTCACAAGTATGATGTCAACGGACTGATACACTGATATTGAGGGGGGCGAGGAGCTGAGTGGAGTTTCAGATTTCAGTGTTGTTATTTCATTTTTACGTGACTCTAATAAATGATATTTGTGGATCAAACAGCTCATCAGATCACCTGGTTTGATAGAAGATGAAGAAGAGCGTGGACCTTCACACATCTCGCAGTAAGGCAGCAGGCTGCTGTTGGAATAGGTGCAAGCCTCACAGCTCCACGCCTCCTTGGGCTCTGGCAAGGTTCTGGGAGCTGAGCGGAGGAACAGCGAACGGGGAGAACTCTGGTTCCCAGCTGATTGGGATTTTGGCGTCCGAAGCCTCTTCAGCTGTGGTGAGAAGTCCCGATCAGGTGTGGCGTGGGTCTGGTCCTGGGATTTCTCATGGGCTTGTTGGACACTTGTCTCCATGCAGACGGAGGGAGAGGTCTCCTCGCCTTGCTCTCTCTTCCTCTTCTTCTCCTTGCTGGCGCTTGGGGAGAAGAAGGAGCGGATATCGTGCTGCTTCTCCCTCTCAAACTGGGGAGAAAACAACACGTTAGTCAGACCCTAACATGGCGGTCACTTCACAGAAAAATAACCCCAGTGTTCGTAAGAGTTTGGTTACCTTAAATAGAACATAAACGTACGTATGAATACAGACAATATAATACAATTACACCAAAAACACTGTTTAAAGTCTGTTTAAAGTCAGCTTGACACATTTAACCCTTTGATGTTTGATGTCTGGTATAGGTGGGATTCCATCTCTGCTGCTCCGGGAACACTGCAAGGTAGCCGGGAAGATGGAGGTCTGGGGATCTCTATTTATATTGGATTCTATTCATTTAGATGGATGGATGGTGGTTGCTGAATGATAATGGCTGGATGAATAGATGATGTACGTATGTATGTATGTTGGTTTGCTGGCTGGTTGGTGGGTTGGTTGGTTGGTTGGTGGGTGGGTTGGTTGGTGGGTTGGTTGGTTGGTTGGTGGGTTGGTTGGTGGGTGTGTTGGTTGGGTGGGTGGGTTGGTTGGTTGGTGGGTTGGTTGGTTGGTTGGTTGGTTGGTGGGTTGGTTGGTGGGTGGGTTGGTTGGTGGGTTGGTTGGTTGGTGGGTTGGTTGGTGGGTGGGTTGGTTGGTGGGTTGGTTGGTTGGTGGGTTGGTTGGTGGGTGTGTTGGTTGGGTGGGTGGGTTGGTTGGTTGGTTGGTTGGATAATGGGTAGATGGATGGATGGATGGTTGGTTGGTTGGATGAATGGATGGATAATTGATGAATGGTTGGATCTATGGTATGTTAGTTGGTTGGTTGGTTGGTTGGTTGGTTGGATAAATGGATGGACAGATTCTTAACTAGCAAACCAAACTTGATGCTTTTCACAGTTTTAGGATTGGGTGATGTTGTGGCTGTAACGGCCATCTTGAATCGAGCTGAGTTTTATTAAATCACTCCAGTGGTTCATGAGGATCATGTGTCTCAATACAAATATTTGATTTCCTGGCTGGTATTTCCTGTGTCAGGCATTAAAGTAACATGTTTACACTCCAGCAGACTCACATGTGTGAAGAACACGTCCTCCTTTGAATTTCCCTCCAGCGGTAGCACCATCTCACTCGGCGTCCACGCGTCGGCAAAGTTGAGAAAGTCCCACTTGTCCTTGTCGCCCTCGTCGGCCTTCAGGTACTCCTTCCTGCCATTCAGGGTGCTGCCAGTCACTGTTTCCTAAAGGACACGCGACAAGAAAACACCACCAAGCATCTAACCTTAGTTGTCCTCCACATCAGATTTTTGCTGCCATGATGTCACCCTCTGTACCTTCCTGTTGAGCATGGACCACATGATGGTGTCGAAGGTGCCCTTGGCGATGAGGTAGTGGACATTGACAGAAGAGGTCTGACCGATACGGTGAGCGCGGTCCTCAGCCTGCTTCATGTGTCCGGGGTTCCAGTAGAGCTCAGCAAACACCACGTGACTTGCAGCGGTGAAGGTCAGACCCTGCAGAGGACAGAAAAAGGAATGCTTCAGCCAATATTCCAAGTGCATTATTTTATTCCAACTTTACTCAACATTCAATCTTTATATGACTGAACTACAGCCAGAGACGTGTCTGTTTTCTCCCAGTACAAAAATGACCAGTCAGATGTTTCAGTAGGTACCTGACCAGCTGCTAGGATGCTGAGAACAGCCACTCGGGTTTCAGGGTCACTCTGAAATTTGTGGACCAGCTGGATTCGTTCTGACGACGGAACGCTGCCATCGATTCTGATGTAACCCACCTGTCAGTGGAACAAACAAAACACCACCACCTTTTACTCACTTCAGACGAAAATCTAAACTAATAATTAAATAAAATAATTTTCAGAGATACTAATATTGTTGTTTCTTTCATTTAAATAAATCGCTTCAACAGGTGACAGCCAATGAAGAAAGATTCAAGCTGGAAGCCGAAACTGTTGCCAGGTAAAAAAACAAACATTTCTTTTACCAGAGTCTCTTGCCTATTACAAGAGATGTTTTGCCCGATTTCCAAGGCTTTTGAGTAAATATTCTGCAGACTGACAAAACAAAATCAGAACTTTCTGGAAGGCGTGTGTCCTGTTCCATCCAGACTCAAGCTAACACTAAAACATGGTACCAACAGTCCGACACGGTGGCGGTAGTGTGACGGTCTGAACTACTTGCTGTAACTGATGGAACCATGAATTCTCTTCTCTCGCAGAACATCCTGCAGGAGAACGTATGACCTTTGACAGTGAAAGACTCATTGGAAGTTACCAAAAACACCAAGATGGTCAGTTATAACTGGATGATTGAAAAGTAAAAACAACAAACTATTGCTGCTCCCTAAATCATATTCTGCATAGAAAACACTGTTTGGACAGTGTAATAGATATTTTGCCCGTCTTTTTAATTACTTTTAATCCTGGAGGAGTAACAGAAGCTGTACTGAAAGGCGAACTATGTAAGAATTGAGGAATAGTAACATGCTGTGGTCAGATTTGGTAACTGCTCTTTCAGTTTTGCTGGGTTGCCAGTTAGGGATAGGAAACTAGTTTATATGTGTTAGCAGCCATGAAATACTATCTGTGCTTTCACAATTATGAACTACTAAAAAAAAACTATATACTACTATACCATACCAAGTTTATTCAGCATTTAAAACAGCATGACAGCTGACCAAAGATGCAACAATGATAAAAAAAAAAAATACATCAAAAATCTAACAGTGAGATACAATTATACAATCAGTGTTCAAAAGCAAGATAATATAATATAGTAATAAATTATATAGTGGAGAAAAAATAGAACAACGTTAGAATCACAAACCTAAAAAGTTTATAAAACTGTATTTTTTTAATAAAAATAAATGGTAAATGGCCTGTATTTGATATAGCGCCTTCTAGAGTCCTGGAACCCCCCAAGGCGCTTTACAACACAATCAGTCATTCACCCATTCACACACACATTCACACGCTGGTGGGGATGAGCTACCCTGGGGCACACTGACAGAGGCGAGGCTGCCGAGCACTGTCGCCACCGGTCCCTCCGACCACCACCAGCAGACAACGTGGGTTAAGTGTCTTGCCCAAGGACACAACAACAGCGACAGACTGAGCGGGGCTCAAACCTGCAACCTTCCGATTACGGGGCGAGCACTTAACTCCTGTGCCACCATCGCCCCCAGAAAAATGCTGGAAACATCTTTTCATTTTTTTATTAAATTTATTGACATGGAAAAAACCATCTCGATGAAAGCCAGAATTTCTGATTACGATAAATTTCCGATTTATTGCCCAGCGCTAATATGTAGCATTAGCCTATGTGACTCTTAAGCTACTAGCTAGGAACAACACTGCAGCATGAAGCTATGGGTTAGTGAGCAGAATGTCCACATTGGGTATGTGCACTTTATGTGGATGCAAATGTGCTAGTTTTCATTCAGCTTTAATAAAATGTGTCTTTAATGACATAACTGCCCAATAGGAAAGGCTTTTGTAAATAATATCAATGATGGGGATAAAAACTCTGAATTAAGTAGAAACTCGTTTTAACGTAGCTAATACTCATGTGCTAGTGCAGTGAAGTGTCTCCTTACAGAATAACGCAGCTGAATCAGGGTGACTTGAATGAAGCCTTTTATGTGTAATGAGGTAGAGCGCTGTATTATCCAAAGCCCCTTTATGAATATACCTTTGAAAAGGACCAGGCTAACAACTGGACGAAATACAGAGCATGTGGCTGTCTGATGCAATTAAGGCCGACAACACGAAAAGGGACGGTTTGTCCGATTTTAAAAAGCTGCATGGATCTGTGCTGGGACAATAAAGGAGACGATACTGTAAATATTTCTGTAGGAAATGTCTGAATGAACGAGGAGCGAGGGACCCCGGTGAACTGAGCATTGTTAGATCGAATGAGAACACAAAAACGTTGGCAGCTGCATGTTCATTAAGGCCGATCCTGACATTCAGAGAGGTGCCGATGCTTTGTGGACTCTTTTGATTTGGGTCCATCGGTCCTGCAGAGCAGCACCACGGACATTGTGCTCCTACTGTGAGGCTTCCATGTGTGCAGGTAACCGGGACTGCATTAATGTGAAGGAAAGTCTGTCCTAAAAAGGAACATATAAGGTCTGTTCAACTTCTCTCTGAATAATAAAAGGTCACCTACAGTAGCCGCGGTCATGGCGTCATGGCCGTAAAACATCCATGTGTTAATCAGATGGGGCAAAAATTTCACCCACGACCTTTAAAGGGACTATAAGGAAGTTTGACGGCCAAAACATGTATAGAAATAATAAATTTCTTCTTCATACATTCTCCTGCAATGCCCTGGTCCTGTAGAATGAGCCCTGGCATTTTTACTGTGATTGCCTGTTTTTCTGTAAAATCACAGAAAAAGAGAGATGCTCAGGTCGAGCAGGCTGCTTCATGCGCGTCCACGCTCAGGCATAGCCCGTAGCATTTGCTATCCGTAGCTTTAGCAGCAGAGAGAGAGGCAGTGCCACTTTGTCTCTGTTCCTAACGCCTAGTGACAAAGCTAGCTACATTTCTGAGGACCCTTAGCTACTTTCTGTAGAACTTTCTTCTAGATATTTCCTGCAAATTAGCAACAAAATAGCTATTTTCACTCCGAACCGTTCTTTGGTTTGGCGTTGTTTCAGCTGTCATCAAGGATATAAAAGTTACAGATATAAAGGACGTCACTGGTGCCTTAGCTCAACTAGTAAGAAGTCGGACTCTCGTTCAAAAGAACCTGGTTTGATTCTGGATGTGAACATAGTTTATTTAGAGTTTCTTTTTTACTGCTGAAAAACGGTCTCGTTGCACCCTGAAAAAAGGCAGGCCACCAAGATATGTAAGCAAGCTATGCTATCCGGGCCGGGCCGACCAGGTTCAGACGGGAATGGCCCATAAGATTTTTATTTGGACAAGGATACATCATATTATTCTTATGTAGAACAGGAATTGCAGAAAGGTGTTGTTGATTAAATATTAAAATGACTTGCCGTAAGGGCTTGCTGTAGACAGATACAGGGGGAAATGTACAATAACACAATATGAACCGTCATTCACTGGATTGTTCTAATATTACTGTTTAATCTGTTCAGTCCCTGACGTAATCTGACTCAGCTGAAGCTAATTTGTCTTTGTGATGATCTCAGAGATGACAAGCTGGGAGCATCACAACTTTTGTTTCTGACGGCTCTGCAGATGGATGAGACATCATTTAGAATTTCTCTTTTGGCAGCTTTGGACGTCTAAAATATGCCCTGACAGGCGAGTGGAAGCACTTCCTAGGTGGAAACGGGGCAGTCCCGGTGGTTGTTGATGCTGGTTCTACTGCGTGCGTTCGTTTAGATCCACTTTCGCTTTGGTTCACGGATTCTTTTTTTTTTTTTCGGTGTTGGAGACGTCTTTACGGTGGGTTAACCACAGCGTTTCACACAGTGGTTAACAGTCAACCCGGTTAATCCTTGCAACCCTACAAATATCTCCTGCATTAGCTTCTGATATAAAATAGACGGTGAAATGCTAGGATTTGAAAACCCTCACATTTCTATGTCCAGTGTTGGGCAAGTTACTTCAAAAGTGTAATACATTATTTATTACTTGTTTTGTACTCATTTTAAAGTAATTCATTAAATTGCAATATTACGGATTTTAAAATGTAAGGCATTACACTACTTTTGCATTACTTTAAGTTACTTTCACCAAAACAACTTCAACATGAATCTGGTAATGTGACGCTCAGTGAGCTCGTGACATATATGTGGAAGGTGATGTGGTGTCTGAGCTAGGGTTGCTGTTATAAACAGTCAGATATAATAACAGTGCTTTAAAATGATTGTTTATTAAATAAAAGCAACAACAATCTGTACTCTCAGCACGCTGCCATCTTATATTAACTGAGCAGGGAGTGAGGTGGTGGGGGCTCCAAGCCTATATTTGCCTTGGTCCCCAAATGCCTCGATACGGCCCTGGATGTGGGACTGACTTCTGGGGTGATCTGATTCTATCACATGTATAAATATTGAATGCTTATATATTATTGCTTTTCACTGGTAAAAATGTGTATTGGGGATAAATCTACCTACTTTTTTTCTTTTCAAGCACTTTGTTTTGTTTTCTTGATTTTATGTGAATAATTTCCGGCCCTTTCTCTCTCTAACCTTCCTGCTTGCTGCATGTTTTCTCCGTCTTCCAGAAAAGGGTACCAGACCCTCTGATACGGGCTCTTAGGTCCCTGTATAACCGGTGTCAGAGCTTGGTCCGCATTGCCAGCAGTAAGTCAAGCTCATTCCCAGTGAGAATTGGACTCCACCAAGGCTGCCCTTTGTTTCCTAGATTTCCTACTTTCTAACTAATCAGCCAAAGGGATCTACCGAACGCAAAAAAAAAACAACAAATAAATAAAAAAGCTTAATATGCGCTGCGCTCCAGCAGCGATGAGTTGAAATCACCGTGGCACAGATTATGAACTCAGCTGAAAAGTACATGAAGTACCAGAGAATATGGGCTGATATACACGATCGCAAACGAATGACTTTGTTTTGGTGGAGCGATTTTGTGAATATAACAGCGGCCGCGCGCAGGACGCAGCTGGAATATTTGAGCCGTTACCACTGCGTCCTCTCTGCTCATAGAATGCCCGCAAAGCTGAGTCTATAAATGACGTCATATATGTGGATACTGGATCTTTTTTCAAGCTTCCCGCAATTTGAATTTTTAGGAAACCTACATCTTGATTCAGGGTTTAAAAATGCATTGTAATT